GCTACATTTAGACTAAAAAATAGTTTAGATATTACATTTACACAATTACAAAATCACGCTTTATAAATATCATTGATTAAACATCATAAATCTGTTAACATGTAGAAATCAGTAGCAAGAAAGTTTTACCTACATTTGTATCATCATTTAATTCAAACAGAGATGGTAACATGCAATAAAGTGTGTGTTACATTGATATTAAATAAGCTAGTCTTCGAAAAACGTTTAATTAAATCGGATTCAGATGCTTTAATGCAGCGATATCTAAGAATTGCATTAGAATATGCAAATAAAGCATTTAGATGTTGCGCCTTTTTCAAAGAAGCTCTAATTTTCTGCCTGCAAAAGCAATATCAAATAACGTACATAAAGCCAAGATAAATGTGGTTATTTCTACAGATGAACTGAACAGACAACAATGAGATCCCCCACCCCCAATCTTCTATTTGCTTCTGGGTGATTTGCATTTCATTAAATCTCAGTTGGTTTGAAAAGACGTCTTTCAGATTTTCACAGCTGTCCCAAAAGGAAATATTCTATGAAGTAACTCATGGTAGAAAACATCACAGATCTCACATGAATGGACCACAAACTCTTAGGAAGATCTGGTTTTCTCTATTGACAGGACTATATTTATGAAGAGAAATAATAAGAAAATAAGAAGAATATTTTAGTTTCCTTTATTCATACACGATAATAATAATAAAAAAATAAAAAAAATAGAAATAATAATAAAGAAATTATTCACACTTCTCAACATTAAAATAGAATAAGGCAGTTGCACAGCAAGGAATATAAAATTCTAGATTCAGTGTCGACAAAATGTAGTAACTAGCCCTGGCTACAAAACTAGTTCAACAAAGAAAGTTTTGATGAAGAAGTTGAGTATACAAATAAATTAAAAGAAATTAAGATTTAAATACTTTAGTGCAGTAATAGGTCAGAATACTTTTTTTTTTATAGAATGGTAACACAGTCTTGTAATTCTCTCCATCAAGAAGCAGTGGGCAAAAATGCTGAAGTGGAATTATATAATAAATGTCTTTGCTGACGTTCTGTTGATGTTATTAAGAGATGTTATCATATGTCAATGAGCTGCGTGTTAGATGAAACGTTTCTCCTAGATTTGTTTGTTGTTGTGTAATGTTCAATGGAGAGTTATTGATAACCATTTAGACATTATACATTTGACTTGTAATTGTGCATCTGTATTTAACTAGCTTTATAAATCATAATCAAATATCAGCTGGACACATATAGTAGTATTGATATATTTGTCTCTGTCTTTTTAATTCTTTTTTATCCTTGACTTACATTTTACACATAGAAACTTGTCAACCACTTCTTCAATTGTAAATTTAGCTCAGTTACTCATTCTTTAATTGCAATATCATATATATTAAAGAACATACTGTAAATCACATTTTTTTTATTTATTTTTTTGTCGTTAAAACATTCTCTAAAGCCCTGGTAAAAGGTTGCACCACAATGTTAGAATAAAAAGAACTCATTCAAATTATCTTGTATTCAGAGTTTTGGGGGTTTCTAAAGACTTTCTAAATTAGTGTGAAAATATAATTTACAACTAAAACTACAGGTAACAATGTTGAACAATGTTTTAATTGAAGATGGATCATACATTGAACAATTAAGTTGAAAGAGCCATGTTGAAAGAGATATTGTTTCTAATAAATATATATATATATATATATATATATTTCTACTTGTAAACTAGTTGCCAGTCTTCCATACTTCATTATTCATTGAATATATCATATAACTGCAGATGAATAATATTTATATCAAATCATTTATGAAGAAGGGTGGCACATAGCTTTCACTAGACTTGAAGACTAATTTCACATAAAATGTAGCCAGATTTGGACCGATTAGGTGATCGGATAAAATCCTGAACTCTGAGTCGAAATGTACCTGCAAAGCCAATTTTTCTTGTGGTGCATAAGTCTAGTTTTAGACAGTTTTTAAGTATGTACAGAAGATAACTATTACCATGTATATCGGTACTCTTTTATTGAGTAAAATGGATGAAGTTCTGAGATGACCCTTCAAGAAATATGATCCTATTTGTAATGTATTGCAACAAAAAATGGACAAAAACCTGATTGATCCCATTCCAATGTGATGGCAGATAAGAACCATTTAGCCCATCTAGTCTGCCCAATCTACTACCACTCCAACCCCAATAGAGAGGCCACTGTGGTTAGTGGTGCTGGCTCTCCCCACTTTTAACCACAAGCCATTGACTCAGAAAGGCATAGAATCAATTTCCCAGTTCAATGCACATAACTCCATTCTACCCTTTTTGGATGTAAAGGCACAATGTAATCTTCCATCCAACACGATTTGTTCATATTTGCAACTAAAGTCCTTACTATGTAAAAACAAAACAAAACAAAAAAAAAAACAAAGTGATGAGCCCCCTTAGCCAAAATGGTTAAATTAAACCCCCCAAAAAAGTAATTTTGACTTGTTATAGCCTATTGACAGACAAAGATGACTACTCTCATAAGTCATATCGGAAAGCATGGCAGGAAGAGTTAGGGCATAATATTGAAGTTGATACTTGGAGACAATCACCTCACATGCAACACATAACTACAGAGAAAAACCAGCCAGAATCAATGGAATATGGCCACAATCCTCAGACAGATGCTGGAGCTGCGGGGAGGGTAAAGGGTAGGGGAGGGTAGAGGGTAAAGGGACCATGTTGCATATATGGTGGTCGTGTGAGAGAATAAAACCTTTCTGGGACAAAGTAAAGGAGGCATTGAGATCACCAATTACACTCACGCTAGAGATACGCATGTTTATGTTCCCAAAAGATGTGCCGAAAGTTCAGAGGGCTTTCCTATACCACACGCTGATCTCGCTGAATTAGTAATAACAAGACTATGAAAATCCACAGTAACCCCAGATTTTAAGCAGATGACATAAAATAAATTTAGATTGGACATATCGATCTTTGTCCATGTCTCAATTCAGCACCAACAGAATAAAGCAGAAGGCTCTACATATGTGGCACAGATATCAGGAAGCAATTGCAAAGGAAGTCAATATAGATAGCAACCCCTTAGGCTCAAACACTACATTCTGTTTATCATCAGATTAGCAGACTAGAAACACGTTATTAAGCCAGCAACAGGGGATGCTCTTTCTCTACCACATAGTAGCATAGGGGTTGGACATGAACTCTCGCCTTTCTAGCAAAATGAAAATGCTGGCAAGTTCTCTCTGCACGAGAGATACAGAAACCCCTGATAATCATTTCAAAAACTATTTTGAGACCTCAGCAAGGATTTACCGAAGAGCAAGCTATTAGGTTTCTCTAAGCTTTTGTCCATTCTCAGAGTTCTGTTTTTGTTGCAATGTATTAACTTGGGCTCTCCCAAAGATAAAAGGGTAATCCAGACATGGACCACAAGCTCACTGTGCCTAGAGATGTATAAGCTACACCTCACTGATGAGGCCCAAAGAAGGCTGAAACGATCATATGGCATTGCTGTATCTCTCATGCAGAGAGAACTTGCCAACCTTACAGTTCTGGATAGGCCTTACAGGGAAGGCGGGGGAGGGGGGGTCAATCAGATATGCAAATGAAATTGGTTCCAACGGTAATGGCACAAGTGAGCAAAAATCATTTTGAGAGCTGAGCAGGGATTTGCAGAAGGGCAAGCTATTGTTTTTCTCTAAGCTTTTGTTCATTCTCATATTCACCTTTTTTGCTGTTAGTAGTGTATTTGGTCCGAGACTATATTTTTAAGCATAGTTGGTAAATAAAATCTGACATACATTTGATTATATCTTTACAAATATTGTGCACAATTGTTAAAGTGGAAATATGGATATTGCCTGGTCTTTTGGACTAAATTATTAGACTTTATTCCCTTACTTTACTTTTATTTCATTTTTTATATTTTTTTTTGTCATTTCAGCTTTTATTTTCCTGCCTCTAAATGTTCAGTAACTCTGCATACAAATCATTTTATTTTATTCCAGTAAACAAACTGCGAACTGGAAACAAATTATGGCTGCAGGGTTCACTTTCATACCTTATTTACAGAGTACATTTTGGAGAGTTTATTCTTATTTATTTAGTACGTAAAATGTTTTTTCACACAATCAATTTCAATGTGTCTTAGAGGGCTTAAAGTGATTGGATCAGTGATACACCTATTCATTTGCTAAGATACTAAATTTGAAAAGTAATCATTTTTCTATATTGCTTTAGGGAAATATATATTTTTTGCAACATAATATAGTGAGTAACAAGACAGTGCTGTGCTTGTTAAAGGAACTATTAGTCATGCTATTTAAATAATTGATAAAATGAATGCTTCAGTTCTCCAAGCTTCACTTCCAATACATTACATTGACTTATACTGTAAGGATTTGGTGGTTTCTTTTGAAAAAATGTAAAATTTTCTTACACAGAATGTCATAAAAATTTGAATAGTTTCACAAGAATTTCATAGATTTAAAGGAACACTCTAAACAAGGGGTAGTGAACCTTTTAATACCTACAGCTCTCTTTTGTATGTTTGTTGATGGTAAAAATTCATTACCACTCACCAGTGCCACAGCAACTAATTTTATAGTACAAATGCATTTTTTTAATTTTTTAGAAAAGAGGGTTTTAAAAAAAAAAAAAAATTATGTACTTCAATTTATCTATTTTTTCCTTTTTTTTCTATTCTACTTTTTTTCTATGTGTGTGTGTGTGTGAAGGGTGCAATGCGTGTGCGAGGGGGCAGTGCGTGTGCGAGGAGGGCAGTGTGTGTGCGAGGGGGGGTAGTGCGTGTGTGAGGCAGTGTGTGTATGTGTGTGTGTGTGTGTGTTTGCAAGGGGCCAGTGTGTGTGAGGGGTGTAGCGTGTTTGTGAGGAGTGTACTGTGTGTGAGGGGTATACTGTGTATTTGTGTGTGAAGGGTGCATAGGGTATATGCTGCGTGTAAATCTTAATGTGTCCCCCTCTCTTCTTCTTACCTTTTCCCAGGGATGGGGGACATAATGCTGAAAGCCCTGCTGGTCTAGTGGGGGCATGTTCACTTTAGCCTGCAACTCCCCTGGTTGCAGGCTGACTCTCCTGTCCTCCTGTGAGCACAGCACTATATCAGAGTGTTGCCATGA